GGCGGGAAGCTGTGTTACTATTTGTTTACTTGTTTACACATGTATAATAATAATCTAGGTTGGATGCCCTGAGCCACAACCTGAAAGCAATGGTGGTTTATAAAAACAGTTGAACTCCCGGCCTCTGGTTCTGCTTTTATTGCAGTTTTATAACGGATGATCGGAACCAGCTGTTTCGTTTACAGTACAGTACCTGCTTTTTTATGGCAACGTTTATGATGTAAATGGAACTTTTTTTTCCCGCTGTGAGCCCCTGGTGGGTCGTTGAGTGACTATTGAACTAGCCGTGCAGGCCTGTGGTCTATCTTATGCCATGTAAGTCCTTTTAGCTCACAAGGAGCAGGTGGGAGGCAGGTCGGTGTGGTGTGTTTGTTTGTGTGAAGTGGAAGTATCAATAAGAAGAGAGTGAGAACAAGCTGCCCCTTAGTTTCTTTCAGCATGTTACAAGGATGTGGATCTTCGATGGTGCTTCCGGTCACCTCCGCCTTCCCTCCCTCCGGCCCAGCGTCAGGCTCGCCACTGTTAAGTGCTCCGAGACATTGACCCGCGTGAAGGGCACTATATAAATGCAAGTTGTTGTTGTTATGTAAAGGCAGAAGTGTCCTGTTCGCTCAGTTCTTGAGTTTGATGTGAAGGCATCTGGCGTCTAACCCCCTCCCTCCCCCCACAAACACACATCCTCATTCCATCTGCCTTCTGTGTCATCGGGAGTCAGCAGTATGTTTGGTGTGGGGTGGGGGGGGAGGGGAGGCATTGACATTTTGTACTTCAAAACAGATGGTTCACAGCGATTCCACTGAGGCCTGAAATTATTCATAGTTGTTTCCTTAAAACCATTGTCAGAGATGCTCCGAGACGTCGTCTTAGAATATATAGAATATATAATTGAGAGGGATTTGGGAACATTCTTAAATTCAATCTTAACAGCAATTTGAAAGTCAGGTTTTATGCTTTTTTTAAGACAGATTTATCCACAGTTTTACCAGATGCTAAACTTGAAGACTGTGGTCTTAAGGGCTTTGAGAAGCCTTAGTCTGTGTTTTTATAATAACCCCTGATTGACGAGGGGGAGATTTTGACCAGGAACATTTACTGCACTACTGTGCTATCGATGTGTTTGAAATTCTCCGCATGTGCATGTGTGTGTGAATTTGAGACACTGGTTAAAATGCTGTCAATCTGAATGAGTACTGAGGTGGGTGTATATGAGTGTTAAGGTTATTTTATAATGTGCTGAAAGTATGTTGCAGGTATATCTTTTGGAATGTAATAGAGGCCTTGTGTGGGACAGTGGGTCGAGCTGCTGCAATTAATTCAGTAGGAACAGCTGGAGATTACTCCAGACCTACAAATAAATCTTTAACGTCCACCTGAACAGGCAGTCGGGACCTCAGTTTAACATCTCATTGAAGGACTGCACCCCCAGTACTGTATTGGAGTGTCAGCCCGGACTATATGATGAATATCTTGAGGTGGATCTAATGGGATTCAATGAGCTGGTGGATCCTAGGGAGGGTGCGTAATAGTAAGGAGCATCACCATTGGCTCAAAGTAGAACCTAGCCTTACCCTGTAAGTCCATTTTGTCTTCAGTGTTAAGATGGCACAGATTTATTGAAAATTCTTAAATTTATGTCATTTTTACACAGTTCTGAAAAAGAGACATCTTCCAAAGTAGAGAAAAATGTAAGAATTTTGTACAATGCCATGCAATCTTAATTTTTAAGACAAGCTTACAAGTCCTGCAGGGTAAGACACCATGTGGAATTTCAGGGTTGCTCGTGTTTCAGTGATATTGTGAAAGTAATGTAAATAAAAAAAAGTAAATGCATTGTATTGCCTTCACAGCTATTACCTTCTCATGCCCAAGGGGAACAAGGCACAAAGCCTACTTGAAAGAACTTTAAAATTCCTGACTATAATGGAATCACCTGCTCTTCCTTCCTGTTGTTAATGACTCAAACAACAGCTAGTGCTGGGTTTCAGGTCAGATACCACGTTGATTATGTTGAATTCAGAGATCACAGCTACATCCCCCAATGCTCCTCTCCACCTCCACCCAATGCTCCTCTCCACCTCCATCTCCCCTCCTCTCTACCTCCCGCTCCCCTTCTCTCCACATCCCCCCTCCCCTCCTCTCCACAGTCAGTCTTAGTATCTGGCAAAACTGTGGATAAATCTCCACCCCCATCCTGCTCTCTACCTCTCGCCCTACACTCAGTGAGAACTAGTTTAGGATGTTCCATAACATCAGTCCTTCATAAGGAATCCAAATTGTCCAGATTCTCCACTGTAAGAGGATACAGTCCCTTGGACCTGTCTCTTAGGAACTCTGCTCTGATGCTTGGATTCAGGTTACGAAAATCTACAAATTAGACACATATACAACATTAACTTTTACTCTTACACAGAAAGGGAGCAGAGGGGAGAGGAAGAGGAGAGAGAGAGGAAGAGGAGAGAGAGAGGAAGAGGAGAGAGAGAGGAAGAGGAGAGAGAGAGAAAGAGAGATGAGAACTATATTAGACAAATACAAAATGTGATTTTATGAAATTCAGGCGAGAGGCTGTTTTATATTAAACACCTGTTGGTGCTTACCTGAATACATAAACACAATAAAAACACTTTATTAAATGCAGACTGATTATTTGCAATGCTTTCCCCCCACCCCCAAAAAGTCACAATTGCCTGCACGTTGAACAGCACAGGGAAGCGTGGAAATTATTACCAGCTTGTTGAACGTCCAAACCTTCCCCGAGCCACATAAATTGCTTTCATATGGTGTCGGGGAATCAGGAATTCATTTGTGTTCCCACATTTAAGGGGACTATTCTTTTCATGGTCAACCAAATAAAAGGAGTTTGGGAGTGAAGCGCATCCAGTTTACCAGATGGGAATTAAAATTAAACCGACTGCATCCTCTAGGAAATTGCTCTCTCTCTCTCTCTGTTGAATGCTATTTGCACTAAAGGTCCACTAATGAAACACCGAAGGCGTCAGGTTATGTATGGCTAAGTGCTTGCAGTGGGAACTTTACTGTAAATGAATGCCACCTACTACGTTCAGCAGTATGAAATCATTCATCCTCACATTTGATATGCGCACCTGTAAATATCAGATTGCTTCAGTGTCAGGACCAGCGGTGATTGTAGATTGTATTTGTAGGCAAATCCCGCAACCGTTATTGCGTGCAGGATGGTTCCCATAAAATGATCAGTGAGGCCAAGGATCAATTCATAATAATCCTCGCATTTGATAGAGCGCCTTATCACGTCTTCAAGACGTCTCAAAATGCTTCACAGAATATATTGTAAAGTTTATATTTTGTGGGCAAAACAAAGCAGCCAATTGCGTGCATCTGGACGAGTGTTGGCCAGAGCACAGGGAGAAACTCCCCTCTTTTGAATAGTGATCTGATCGGGCAGATGGGACCCCAGTTTGCACATCTCACTCTGACAATGCAGTGCTCCTCCCCAGAAGAGTGTCAGCTATGGACTATGACCAGGAGTTTGAACCTACAACCTTCTAACCCAGATACAAGATTGCTTTGCACTGAGCCGTGCTGACAATACAAGCTGGTCAATACTGTACTATTTGTTAATATGATAATCGATCGGGCAGAATCTTGGAAATATGTTTATTTCAGTCTTGATTTTGGAGGATGGTTTGCCGTGGGCAAATTGTTGTTATTGAATTTTGGGACTCTGACCTGTTGACATCTTTAAGATAGTCATCTGATAGAACAACAATAACAAGAACAGTAAATTACATTTGTATAGTTCCTTTCACATTGGGAGGACGTCCCAAGGCGTTGGACAGACATAGATTTGGAGTAGTCATGAAAAGCTTGGGAAGTACAATAATTTACATACTGTGCAGAGCCGATGATCTGCAATAATTGATTCTGGCTGCTTTGTGGATAAGTAAACAGTACGGACAATTGGACATCATGGAAAATGTAGATAGACCAAAACTGCTCTATCAGGATTTTACTGTTATTGTAGTAGCATACTGTGCCAGCCCTTCTCTCTCTGCTACTTTCTCTCTGCCTTTCTCTCTCTCTAACTTTCTATCTCTTATTCTCCCTTCAATATTTATCTCTAACCCCAAACTGTACATTGTGAAAATGCAGATAAATGATGTTCTGTTGTATCTCTTTTCTAACTATCTGATTAAAATATACAACCTTTCTTACTTTGTTGCTAAAACATTAGTACAATATACAAAAGCAACATTTTACATTTACTTTACATTAAAAAGTTGTATGATATCTTAAACTGCTTTATAATAATAATAATCCTTACATTTGATCTAGCGTCTTATCACGTCGTCGAGAAGTCTCAAAGTGCTTCACAAAATATACTGGATTGACTGTATTTTGTGGGTGAAACGCGGCAGACAATTGTGTGTTGGGAAGAGGAGAGAAAATAAACATTTGGGGGGAAAGGAAACATTCAGTTTGACTCTAACTGTCTTTGAAATAAATGGTAATACCCACGGCAAATTAGCTGAATATGCAGCTGCCCTGTTTCAAAAACAAATTGAAATTGTCGTCAAGCTGAAATCATGATTTATTGAATGACGTTTGTGACTATGTGCCTTGTTCTCTTTTAAAGGATAAAACCTCACTGGAGTTAAAAGTACCTATCCTCAGACCTCCACAACAATGTGAATCTCAAGGCTTTACAGAGTCAGTGAAATCCTTTTACTAGTCCACATTTAATGGCCTTTTCTCTCTTGTCACTCCAACCCGCTTAATGGATTCTCTCCGTGTTATTGTCCCACAATCTTTTATTAATGCTAAGATGGACGAGATGCTAAGTAGAAAAGCCCTCTCGACATTATCTCAAACCTGAAGGCCTGAGTGACACACTGAGATGACAATGATGTGAGGAAGCTGCTTACTGTTTTCTGAAAGATTTATGATCTGCATCGCAGTATAGTGTGACTCCTGATGGGCTGTCCTTCACCTGATGTGGGAATGCTGGCGCTGGCTGTCCAACAATGCCGGTGACTCCAGAAAATGCTGCACTCTGTCTCCCTCTCTTTGAACGCTCGTTGCGCTCTGGGCTGGGAGAGGAACAGAGAAGCCCACTGCATCATCTCTGCCAGTCGGCCATTCAGATGCTCTGCGAATACATCCACTTGAATTTCGGTGCTGTGGGAGAGAGTACGTTCCAGCCAGACCAGAGGATCCGGGAGGATTTTGAGATCTGCCCCGTTCACTTGACCAGAGGAGAGGGAGACTGCGATCAGCTGGGGCTGCGCTTCGGGAATGTCCCGATTTATTGGGATTCCCTGAGTGAGCAGGAGAAGAGGAAGAGGGAAACCAGGAAGTGGGGTAGCAAAGGACCCATGCTGGACATTGGATGTATCTGGGTGACGGAAGTGAGGAAACAAGGTCCCGCCGCGAAGTGCGGGAAGATTAAAATCCGGGACGAAGTGTTGTCACTCAATGGACAGCTGATGGTCGGTGTCGATGTTGCAGGTGCCAGGTAAGCACTGGAGCCGTCAGTCACATTGAATCATGTGGGTTTGTCGATCACATCTTCCCGTTCAACCACATCATGGTCGAGAGTTTCCTCTTGATGTCTTTCTATTCACTTCTCAGACCGGCACCGACATCATGGGCCGATTGGCCTCCTTCTGTGTTGTATAATTCTATGATTAAGTGACGTTGTAGGCAGATCAGACAAGCCTGACGAATGTGACATGAGTAACAATGGCACCTTTACAAGTTTGGTTATAAAGAACGAAAGTCTGCTACTGTGGAATGCTGTAGTTCAGTGGTTAGAGCACTTGCCTCGCAAGTGGCAGACCTGGGTTCGATTCCTGGCAGGACGATACCTTGGGCAAGTTTCCACACGCTTGATAATAATCCCTCAAGAAAACAAAATTATAAATTGGTCACTTCAATCCACAACTGTTTGTGGGACATTGTTGTGCACAATTGGCTGCCGTGTTTCACCCACAAATATACAGTCAATTCACTTTACAGCATATTCTATGAAGCGCTTTGAGACGTCGAGAAGACGTGATCAGCGCTATATCAAATGCAAGGATTATTATTATTTATTATTTACTTTGTAGGTCACGGTTAGCTTAGTTGGTAAGAGTCTGATCTCTGGATTACAAGGTTGTCTAGTGTTATGACCTAATGTTCACAGCGTGGGCTGATATTCCAGTGCACTGCTGGAGGAGTGATGTATTGTCAGAAGTGCCGTCTTTCAGATGAATAAAATAACAATCTTTGGATTAGATAATGTGCCCTTCCTACATTGTTGAACCATCTCACAACACTTCGTGGGATTTTCTGTGAATTGTAGTGATTGTGTATTTGTAGGCGAAGCATTAAATGTGTTTAAGTGGATGTAAGAAATCCTATGACATCTTGCTGTGTAAAAAAATTAGTCGCCACATTCACCTACAAACTACACTTTACGACAATTCCCTGTGAAGGGCTTGGAGACATTTTGACATCATAGATGCTATATCAAATTCAAGGAATGTAATTATTCTGTATTATTATTATTAATAATAATCAGTCTGTGGTACAAATCTATCATCTTTCCTACTGGATAATAACCTGAACAAGTTTGCTATAAACTACAGTTCTACTACACTACACATTTAGTACCATAATCTGATTCCATCACCATCATCATTAAATACATATACATAATAATCCTTGCGTTTGATGTAGCGCCTCATCGTATCATCGTGGTGACTTCAATGCTTCACAGGATAGCAACTGAGCCAGCCATATCAGGATATGGTATACTGAACATTTCTCCTCCAAGGTCAGTAATTGATGCGTTAATTTGACGAGCTTCTCACGGATGTTGTTTGTGAGTAATTCTCACCCTTATGTGTGACTGGGGGTTGTGGATTTTGAAGGCAGCAAGTTGGGTGAATAAGCTCTTCAGCATCTATCCATAAAAGGTCTTTCAGTTTATAACATAGACATTCATTTTTGAATGTGACAGATTTTTTTGGATCCATTTTTATGCACGTCCATTTAAAATAGGCCAATTTGTGGGTTGGTTTGTCTCTCTCTGTGTTCAAATGGTTGCTGCAGATGGTAAACTAGCTTCCATTTCATGTCCAAAAGGGCAAGTGTCAGCCTGGCTCAGTTGGGAGCTCAAACTTGCCTTTGAGTTGGAAGGTTATAGGTTCAAGTCCCATGTCAGTACCTTGAACTTGGGGAGAGCCACATTGTCAGTGGTGATGTCCTTCGGAATACACATTAAACATTGCTGCATGCAAATTAGCTGTTGCAATTTCGTACATTTACAATTTCTGCTTATGTTACGTTGTCAGAAGTGCTGCTTTTGGATAATTAAAATAATAATAATAATAGTCCTTTGCATAAGATATAGCCCCTTATCACATTGTTGAAATGGCTCAAACGAGCTTCACAAGATTTACTGTGAAGTGTAGCGATAGACATTTATACATTTACTGCACTATACTCTATGAAGCGTTTTGAGACATCTCGACAATGTGATAAAGAGCTGTTTCAAATGCAAGGATTATTAATAGCAATTCTTCCTCATTTTGGAAACAAAACAAATGGCTGAGGTTCGAGCCTTGGTCTGTGTTGTTAACTTGGTCTGAGTTAGATCTATTTCTGATAATCCTCCTCGGGATGAGGTAAGTCTCTTACACTCGCGAGGTGGAGAAGAGAAAGCTGCTCTTCTTAAATATGAATGAGATAGAGGTCTTCTCAAGGGAAGTGCTATTACACAAATGGTTCTTTGTGAGCACAGGTACTGGGTTGTTTGGATTCTGAAAATGATGTTGAGGCAGCTTTTCTTTTCCTTTGGGTATTTATGGCTTTTGCATAAGTTTCTTTATGAAGAACGAGGAGGATTCTCTCTCTTTTGTTGAAGAGGGTCTCAACATCCAGCAGCAGCGACAAATGGCTATTATCTGTGAAAAATGCGATGTTTCATAACCGATTCGCTGTGCTAATGATCACACTCACGAGCTGGAATTCCAATCAGAATTAGGCCTGTCGCTTAGATTGCCTTTGCTGATGTGCGATTATAATGGGGGAAATCCCTTTAATGGCCGACATCACCAAAGCCGTTGCTCTTAATGCAAACCAGAAGCAACAAAATAATTTCAGTCCAATTATCTGCTGATTTTAGGTCTGAATATCTATTTCTCCCCTCCCCCACCTTCAATTACAACGCAATGGTCAGGTCTGTGGGCTCTTTGTTCTGCTGCCATCTTGAATACCTGCTCAGTTATAGCGGAACACAAATACTTTTACGTCAGCTCCAGAGGCAACATCCGATGGCTACTTCAAAGGACACTGGTTGAGTTAAGCTGCTTAACTACACAAATACCCTCAATGAATTTGGGGGATGGGAGCGCGGGTGAGGGAGTTTCTGAGGAGTGGAGTCCCACAGGGGACAATTCACATCACTGCACGACAATGCCTGCACTGACATTATAATATTTGTTCATGTCACCAAGCTATGAGGCCTGAGAAATGGATATTAGACTCCGAATGAGATCAAATGTGCCATGCAATGCTTTCTGCATCTGAGCCTCTTGTGATTTATACTAAGTAGCTCTGATCAGAGTGACGTTTGCAGTTCATTGAAGCAATAGTTTTGAGAATGAGAAGACGTTTCCTCTGGGTGTTTGGTTATTTCATGTTGAGAGAGTCTAAGTAAGCCAAGCAGTGAGCCAGACTGGCTGTCATTACCTCATAGTCTTCTGGCACACTTTCAGCTCGTGCTTTATGACACTGACTAATACATTTAAATAGATGCAGAGAATAACTTCAATAACGTTAGTCTGCTAAAACAAACTTTAAAACTACATTTATATGGTGCATTTTCACTTCAGGAGAATGTGTCACACAGAACTTTGAAACTATAAATAGAAACACTGTAAATAAAATACAATATAATTTATATTTATATGGCGTCTTTCACGTCAGAAGGACGTTTCAAAACGCTTGACTGTGGCTGCAGCTGGGGAGCAGGACCTGGAGAGGCTGAGGAGGGGAAAGATCATCCGAATATAGGAACAGGTATAGGCCATTCAGCCCCTCGAGCCTGTTCTACCATTCTATTAAATGATGGCTGATTTGTTCCTCAACTCCAATTATCCTTGTATTTGATATGGCACCTTATTATTGAGATATCGCAATATATTCTGTAAAGCTGTGTGTATTTTGTGGGTGAATCAGCAACCGATTTCTGCACTACAATATCCCACAAGGAAATGACCAATTGTATTTAGGTGATTGTTGGCCAGGACACCGGGAAAAACTCACTTTTCTGAAGGTAACTGAAAGCACGGTCAAAGAGGTAAGGACTTTGAATTTACTGTTCCAATGAGAAGAGTCCTGATCTCTCTAGCCTTTCTTTATAGCCCCATGTTTTCATCTCTGGCATCGCCTACACTGCATCCAGTGGCCTAACCAATGACTCCTACAAATTCATCACCACTTTCTTGCGTTTGTATTCAAAAGATGAATGGGTGAGGGGAGGTGGGGAGGAGAGGAACCTAAAGTAAGTACGCCTCGTGAAAGATTGTGCTCGGTGTAAATATAAATTGGCAGCAATAGAAGGGCCAATAGCCTCCGCAAGAACTGTACTTTCATATACGACCTCTAGAGGGCAGTGGTTGGATGCCACATGGATTCTTGGTGATTGGTGCCTTGGCTCAGTCTTTGATAAACATGTCGGTGATGACAGGTATTTCTGTCTCTCCTCACTCCTCTCAGGCTGACGCTGGCACAATCTGAGGAAGTCATATCTGTGGCTGGCAGGGCTGCAGCTGGAGCAATTATACAAAACTACACATTTTTCTTTTTTTAAAAAAACATGAATCTTCATTATACTATCAATAATATTAATAATCTTTAACATTTGACATAGCGCCTTTCATGTCAGTTGGACGTCTCAAAGCGCTTCACAGGATTTACTGTAAAGTGCAGTAACTGTGTATGTTTTGTGGGCAACATGGCAGCCAATTTGCACACAGCAATATCCTATGAACAGCTATGAAGTGAATGATTAGTTGGGGGGATTGTTGGCTAGGAGACCGGGAGAAACTCATTTCTCTTTTCGAATAGTGCCATGGGATCTTTAATACCCACCTGAACAGGCAGATGGGGTCTCGGGTTGTCTCGTCTGAAGCATGGGATAACAGCAGTCTATGCTAATGACTGGAACAGGTTGCCAGAATCAATGGTTGAGGTTGGTATATTGGACTCATTTAAAAAACAGTTTAATGCTGTGATGGAAGAATGGTAGAAATGGATTTTCTATAGGGATGAGATTAAATGGGCTAAACATCCAAACTATTCTGATGAACTCTTGGGGAATTCCATTATAAGTGAAAAGCTGACTTATAATAATAATCCTTGCATTTGATATAGGGCCTTACCGTGTATTTGAGAGCACTTCTGCAGCATTTACAGTAAGTGTATTTGTGCAGGTGAATGTAGCAGCCAATTTGCATACAGCAA